CTTTCCCTCTAGAAAAGGATCTGGACTCTGAGCCTAGCAGAATGGCCAGTTACTTGCCTGTATAGCGGCCCCTTGGCGGCAGAAGCACTGTGGCATGAGTTGAGAGAAGCCACCCAGATTCCTTTGGATATGCGCAGGTTCTAGGCCACAAAGGGCTCACTGAGGGCTGATGGCCTGGCTCTACCTTTACCAGTTCCTGCAACCCTGTCCATCCCCGCTCCAGGTCCTCCCCAGGAGGTAAGGATGCTCTTCCAGCACCCGAGCAAGCAGCCATTGGAAGCTGTCACGAACAGCACACGGCCAGGGCAACTGAGTACCTACCTTGAGCTTGGTACCACACTAGCCCAGGAAGGTGACTCGAAACAGTAGGGAACGTGGCTTCTGCTCCCTGGGCGATCTCAGGTGGGGTTTAGGGATTAGGCATCCTGTGAAAGGCCCTTTTTGGTCATTCATTTTTGTCTAGCTCCACCGTGTTTTTGTTTTTTTGGTGTTTTGGTTTTTTCCTTCCATTATGACTTTCCAGGGAAACCTTCTGAGGCGGGAGGTGTTTGCTGAGAGCCAGGGGTGGGAGGCAGCTTCGTTTTCGCTCAGGGTGGCAACTCGTATCCATCAGGACTCTGGTGTCAGGGTAGGCGGTCCCGGGGCACCTTGAGCTCTGCACCCACCTCAGTCAACTCTGCTGGGTTAGCCTGGCCACCTTTTCCTAATTTCCCCCAGGATCTGAGGTGAGCAGGGCTCAAGTGACCACTGGGGAAGTCCCTGCCAACTCCTAGATAACTTCACTATCAGCGGTCACTTTTCTTTTACCTTCACCTGGTAGTTTGAAATGTCATCTTTTCTTGTGCTCAGTCGAGAGTTTGTTTGTTTATTTTGATCGTATTCATTCAGTTCCAGTGGCCCCTTCATGTCCCATCCAAACCTAAATCCAGTTTGGCAAACGACTCCCCCGACAGGTGAGGGAAGGAGCTTGGATTTTCAGGGTATTTTATTTCGGGTTATTGGGTGGGTCTGTGTATCAATCGTAGAGCTTTGGAGCCCCTGGCACCAACCCCTCCCCCAGCCCAGCCCATCTCCGGCCCCAGCCAGGACCCCTTACTGTACTTTATACTTGCCAGCTTTATTCCAATCTAGTAACATGAGCTCGCGATGGTGGTGGTGAGTGTGAGCAGTTATGTTTCTGTTGTCTTTTCTCTTGCTTGGTTGGGGCTGCTGTGAGTGTCTCTGAGGCATACTTTCCCGCCTCTCTTACACTAGGATCTGCACACCTCCTCTCAAACACTCTTCTGAGCACGCTCAGCGGGAAGGTTTGTCCACACCTATTAATCCTCTCTCAGTGTCCAGCTTCCTGTTAGTACCAGCTGGTTTGCATGTTTTTGCTTGTTCAGATGAAACAGTTCAAGAAACAAACTCATACTCAACTCTCGAGAAATGTCTTTTTTTGTACACTTTCGTTTTCAATTTTTTTTTTATTAGTTACAACTCCAAAACACCTGTTGTCCAGTAAAACATTTCACACCTCCCCTGCCTGTTCTTAGATTGTATGTATCTGTGGGACTGAACTAAATGCATGCACTGTAGTAGATGTACTGGTAGCTGTAGCCGTAGTTGTAGAACATGCATTGTTGAGTTGATATTACAGGGTCTCCGACGGCTCGTCAACACAGCACGGCCGTCTGAAGGATAGCATGGGGGCCAGGAAGAGAAGGGGCTCCATATTTTCAATGTTGCCAAGGGGCTTGGATCCATGTTCTCACCATCAGTCACCACCACCTCCCCTCACACTCCCCGCTCCCCCAGTCCAGAACTGGGTCACCACCCTCAGCTCTAGCCTTTCCAACTGAGATCTCTGTGGAGTGTCCAACTATAGTGAAAGAGAATGGAAGCAGGATGGGAAGGGATCTGCAAGTTCTTCCTTGTTCTTGTCTTTCTCATGCTGTTCTTGAACGGAGTAGGTCTTTTCTTATTTCTTACAGCCTTCCAGCAAGGCCCCTCCAAGCCCCTCTCCTCCTTGAGTCCTTTGGCAGCTCACATGCAACCCTTCAGGGATGCAGGATCATGTTGCAGCCCATCGTCGAGCTAGTCCTTTGGGTGGAGGGGAACTGAGACATGCTAGGGAAGGGATTGAGATCTTAAGACTTAAGATCTACAAGCAGGGAATGGTCCT